AGTGCGGATTGCAATTAACAGTGTTTATCGTTCATATCCATGGTTTTTCAGATGCTTAAAACATGCAGGGTCTTTTTCAATAATAACTGATGAACATTGAAACATCATAATAACTATATCATAAAGACATGTCGATTATCAGCCGAGTACTTACAATGTTTGCTATGATGCAACACACCGCATAATTGCGCGGGTAAACACCGCCTTCTGAGAATGTATGATGTCAGAAAACACATTTTATTTGATTAAATTCAATCCCATTTTCATTCATTAAAACTGTTTACAATAACAACGGAGAAACCCGCTTACCACATTCGCGAGGGTCGGTTTTTCGCACCTACCGCGATAGCACCAATTTAACATTTTTCTCAGCAATCACGAACAGATTACAGCCTTGTCATCCATTGACCCCAAGACCTGCGTTATTGACTCATTGAAGTCATATTTGACAATTAATTGCCAACATTTTGTTTTTACAATCTAAGTGGCATGTACCGCGGGAAGTCAGCAGTGACTTGTCAAACTGTCTCCTACGTAAAATGTATCCAGCCAGGTAACCCAAAGTGCTTAGCAATGCTTATTATTATGTTAAATATGTTCGTAGAAAACATGCATTATACTTATACGATAGCAATATATAAGATCTCTGTTAGAATAACTGCTTGACATATAAATTATTCTGATAATGGAATAGAAATTCTTGGATGTTATATTTTCGGATCGTTTTTAACTGAATCACCGGTTACATTGGACCAAAACATCGATGTGTGCCCAGCTGATTGCTATTTCCATCTTAGTTGAATCACAGATAGCATGACAGGAACAATTGAATTATCATGTCTTGTGATGTTTGATTGTAAGTTTCATGTACATACATCCATTTTTGATTTACAAAGTTTTGGGGTTTTTTAACCTCTAACAATACGATATAGTTTTGAGTGGGCACAATACACGAAATAGCAATTTTGTTATGTCCATGGAAAACACGATTTTACTTGGCCTTTGTTCCGCGTTATGTAATCGTTACTTATAACGCGGGTGTCTAATAACGCGGGGGTCATCCATGGACCCCAAGACACGCGATATGGCGAGGGATGCCTGTAATTGTAAAAATATATTAAAGTTTAAATGTTAGTATAACATGTTTGTAATTTATATTTGATCTGTTATATGAGTTACGATAAGAAGACTGCAAGTTGCCAAGTCCAGGTGCTGAAATAGAGACTCTTAATATACCTCAGTTATTTTATCTATTTTTGTTTGTACGCATGTAATATCAAATTTATTGAGTATTTACAAAATTTCAAGCATACTTGTACGCAATAGACTTACTAGGAATTGAGTTTTCACATAAATATTTGCGTAATTTACGCATATACACAGCTTATCTGTACCTCTGTACATCCACAGTTAGGCCACCTTGTTAGGGATCATGGTGAACTGTAAAACTCAGGCTTCCTGCACGGCCCAGTAAACAACGGTTATCAGTCCGCTACTCAAGTTTGTACGTATTTACCATGTTGGAAGACACTAGTGCTGGTATTGGCATACAACTTGCGATACGATACATCATGATGCTACAATTTTAAACACGACAACATATTGCCAAAGTATTGTGCACTGAAGCTACGATACGAAACGAATCCTGATATAAGGGTGGCGATACGAAACGTATCACGATACTAAAAGCTTTAATTCTGACACCAACTATAAGACGCCAAGATCATAACAAAACAAGATTAAAGTATTTCGTCAAATTCTGCCATCGTATTTCAATGTTCATTCGGAAATGAGATAATTAAGTTTATACACGGACTTTGTGAATGTTAATAACATGCGAGCGCTATGTCTGACACAGTTCTTGATGCAAGAATTTCCGAGAAAACGTTTACTTATGAAGGGAAAATAAGTAAGCATGTATTTTTTATGATGAAACAAATGTAAGTCTTTCTTCTTGAAAGATATCGCAATTCGGCAATATTCAAAGTTAAACATTGATGTATCGTGGCCCATTTGAAGTATCGTATCGGGATATACGACAATGTAAAACTTTGTATCGATTCACTGTATCAGGGCCCAAGGATCGATGCATCGATGCATATTGATGAATCGTCATACCACTAGAAGATACATGATATCAGGTCAGCATGAGGGAGGGAGGTCATATCATATTGGACACATATAACATACATGCATCACCGCAAAACAGCATACACGATATCATATACAATCCATACATTCTGGCTAATATCGAAAGTTCTCACCAATCGTCTACATTTTACACGCTGAAACGTTTAATTTGAAGACATGACAATACAAAGTTTGTTTAACATGTTTGACATCTCAAACTGGGTGAAAAAGCATATATAGTAGTAGGGGTGTCGCGATACGCGAATGTATCGATACATCGATACATTTTTACTGACGATACGATACGCGATACATGCTTGCGTGTATCGCTTCCTATTTTAAAACTTTATCGATTCAAATTTTTATGCTGTATCCATCTCCGTCAAAGTCTTGATAGTAAAATTATACCAGACCGCTCCGATAAATAGATGTAGCTAGCTTTACTTAAAAAATAGGTTGGAAACTAACAGCTTTTGTGATTGGCTAGGCTATTTTGATGGACCAGTCAGCGAACGCGTACGTTGCCGGTAAGGTAATGCTATGAAAAGGCGCGATAGTTATGTATCGCGATACGTATCGTATCGTGACCTTAAAATCGTGATACGTATCGTATCGTGAGATTGGTGTATCGTGACACCCCTATATAGTAGCATGTATTGTTTGAAACTTAACGTTCCAAGTGAAAAAGGGAAAATACCTTTTGAATCTAAAAACATCTGAACAGGGACCTGATTCACAATGCGTTCGTAGCTCTACGTCATTCGTAAGTCTATAACTAACTATACAGCTACGATAGCTCATAACACACTGAATGCTTTGTGGATCGGGACCTTGGTAACTGTACTGATGTACAAAAGAAAGTACACACCTGCTGTTTTGAGATTATTAAACTGACTGACTGTTTGGTTTTACGCCACTTTTAGCAATATTCCAGCAACATCACGGCACGACGCCAGAAATGGGCTTCACACATTGTACCCATGTGGGGATTCGAACCCGGGTCTTCAGCGTGACGAGCCAACGCTTTAACCACTAGGCTACCCCACAGCCCCTGAGACTATTAAAACAACATAAATATTTTGCTATCAATGCTATCAACTTTTCTAAATATTACGCTGTTTTTCAGGAAGACATTTTACCAAAGCATCAGGTGTGTACTTTCTTTTGTACGTCAGTTTATACACATTGTCATTTTCATTAAATTCAGATGTTTCACTTTGATATGATACCAATAAGCATAGGCTTCATTATAAGGCTGTTGCATAGAGTGAACTTTCTAAGCAGCCAATTTACATCCAAACTTGATTATGGGGATATTTTGTGTTCTGGGGCGTTTTAATTTTTACCTGCAAAATTCTAAATTTATGTTGTACAGATATGAGTGAGTGAGTGAGTTTAGTTTTAAGCCGCAGTCAGCAATATTCCAGCTATATGGCAGCGGTCTGTAAATAATTTAGTCTGGACCAGACAATCCAGTGATCAACAGCATGAGCATCGATCTGCGGAACCAATAACATGCGTCAACCAAGTCAGCGAGCCTGACCACCCGATCCCGTTAGTCGCCTCTTACGACAAGCACGGGTTACTGAAGGCTCATTCTGGCCCGGATCTTCATGGGTCAACAAACTAACAAAACTTTGTCATAGCATTTCAGGGACCTTCACGGGTTGTACAGAAATGAAATAAAGTCAGTATAGAAATCTCTCATAGGGACTGGTCAGTAGAAGTTCACTTCAGGCGAAGGATTGATCAGATCTTCACTTAGAGAATAAATATCGTATTGGAGCTAGGCCTTTCTTTCTTGGTTTACAGATCCACCTACCCACAATGTGAAGAAAGTGGGAAAAACATAAAAATTGTTTTTACATTTTTTTTGCCATTATATGCCGCCGACCTGATAAAAAAATGAAAGTAAAATAAAAATAGAAAAAGAAAAAATAGAAAATTATACCTTTCAAATATTCCCTGAAACATAGTGGAACAGAGAGAAAGGTAATGCCACAGGCCACTCAGCTGGCATGCTGCACCTGGCATATATGATATACTCAAGTGTGCATATAACATCTCCATATTCCCTGTAACTGAGTGGAACAGAGAGAAAGGAAATGCCACAGGCTGCTCAGCTGGCATGCTGCACCTGGCATATATGATATACTCAAGTGTGCATATAACATCTCCATATTCCCTGTAACTGAGTGGAACAGAGAGAAAGGTAATGCCACAGGCCACTCAGCTGGCATGCTGCACCTGGTGTATATGATATACTCAAGTGTGCATATAACATCTCCATATTCCCTGTAACTGAGTGGAACAGAGAGAAAGGTAATGCCACAGGCCACTCAGCTGGCATGCTGCACCTGGCATATATGATATACTCAAGTGTGCATATAACATCTTCATATTCCCTGTAACTGAGTGGAACAGAGAGAATGGTAATGCCACAGGCCACTCAGCTGGCATGCTGCACCTGGCATATATGATATACTCAAGTGTGCATATAACATCTTCATATTCCCTTTTCTTCCCTCCCTACCAACCTAATAATGCTTATTAAAAATCTGTAAACCAAGTAGTTAAAAAAAAAGGCTTTAAAGATCTGAGTGCCGTTGTTTAAACCTACCTCAGCGCTACGACAGCCATAAGTCTGTATGAAGGAATGGGAGTTACAATCACCTTAGCACTAGGATTGCTTTGTACAACGGCACCCTAACCATACACCTGACTTCAATGACATTGTCTTGAAAGACACTTACGTCCCGCCGTCTTTCTCTCTTGTAGAAGAATATGTTGGTATTTCCCAGTGCGCCTTGACTTTTCTCGATTAGATTATTGTTCATGCTGGATGTCTGCAAGACTTTGGTTACTGAAAGGTCAAAGGTCAAGGTTAAATGCAAAGTTGAACCATGTCTATCAGGGCCCTGTTTCACAAAGCTATCGTAGTGCTACGACTGTCGTATCTCCCATACTGTTACATAGACTTACGACAGTCATAGCCCTATGATAGCTTTGTGAAACGAGGCCAAGGATTCTATTCTAAAGGACAACCTCATGTCGGTACTGGAGGTTGAGGGAGTGCCTGGTTAAATTGAAAAACAGACAGACCAATGTGCTATTGTAGTTTCTAATCTTATGTATGAATAATATATAATAGGTGAGGTGAGGTGAAATTGGGTTTTACGTCGTGCTTGAGAATATTTCGCTCATATGACGATGTGCATACGTGTGTATGTGTATGTGCGGCTGCTTGTACTAGCCTAGACTTAAGCTGGTTTTATAGTGCTAGCCTACTGAGATACCATGCTGCAGTGAAGCATGAATACCCCACTCAGACACATTATACTGACTCCGAGCCAACCAGTCCTTGTTGTACCCATTAATGCCGAGCGCCAACAAGTACCATATTTTAACGTCTTTTGGTATGATGCGGTTGGGGATCGAACCCGCGACCTTCCGCTCTCCGGGCGGACGCTCTAACCACTACACCACGGAGGTGGTTTAATATATAATATAATGCATAGAGCACCTAATAGCTACCTCAAAGATGCTCAGTGGCACTACCACTATTACGGTGGTTAACCTGCCTGTGAGGCATAGAATTTATAACAGTCACATGACCATCTTATCCCACCGGGTATCCATTCACTGCTGAGTGAACAAGGGCAATTTTTAACAAACTCACTTGCCTGAGGTTGCTTAACTCCAACTGATTTGTGTGAGTGAGTAAGTGAGTGAGTGAGTGAGTGAGTGAGTGAGTGAGTGAGTGAGTGAGTGAGTGAGTGAGTGAGTGAGTAAGTGAGTGAGTTAAGATTTCTTGTCACACTGGCAGTATGTCAGCCATATTGTGACAAAAACAAGTTATACATTGATGACACATAAACCTAGAATATATAAACCTGTTGATGACCTACATAAAAAAAACAACCAGAAAATCACTAGTGGTGTTCTGATGATCGAAAATAATCGAAAATCGATCGAAAGAAGGATTAACAATAATGATCGATTGTAAAAAACATATTTTCGATTAATCAGAATTTTGTTGTTTTAGTATGAAGTAAACTAACCATTAAATATGACGAATATTCACAAACAAACATGCGCTTAACAGCGTAAAGCTATGCACATTGTAAAATTTTAACCACTTTTATTGTTTTATTGCATTTCAGAATACCGAACCAAAGGGAAAATACCACGGTTCTACTAATATTGCGGTGTACCATTTCACCCCTACTGAACCAGCCATTTCTAACATGCTCCAGTGCAGGTTGTAAATGCTGAAAACACACCCTGTATAAACACAGAACAAGAAGGAGCTTACATGTGTATGACTTGACGTAGTCTGACTTCTCAGTGGCTGTCATACTAAACAGCTTCTGTCTCTTGTCGGGAAGCATCTGTTCGAACGCAGTGTCATTCTGAGCAAACAGGGTCAGCGACTGGCTCAACTTGAAGAAGTCCTGTACTTGCAGACCACTTGCAATTATCAGGTTCTTGAACTGGGGACATAAAAGCACCATTAGCACTTGGGTTTACTGAAAGCAAAGTAAAGTAGCACTGCAGGGTTTTACCTTGACTTACAGAAGTGGGGCTCAAGGGTCACCCCATCAATATAATTTTACAGTCCTTTCACGAGTCCTAATATGAGAGCCCTGTAATGTATTGAGTGAGTGAGTTTAGTTTTACGCCGCACTCAGCAATAATCCAGCTATATGCCGGCGGTCTGTAAATAATCGAGTCTGCACCAGACAATCCAGTGAACAACAGCATGAGCATCGATCTGCGCAATTGGGAACCAATGGCATGTGTCTACCAAGTCAGCGAGCCTGACCACCCGATCCCGTTAGTCGCCTCTTACGACAAGCATGGGTTACTGAAAATGAATATTCTAACCCGGATCTTCACGGGTCATAATGTATTGAAAGGTTGTAGTGTACTGTATGTTCAGAGCCTGGAATGAACCAGTGGTGATGTGGACAGTGGTGATGTGGACAGTGGTGATGTAGACAGTGGTCATGTGGACAGTGGTGATGTGGACAGTGGTGGTGTGGACAGTGGTCATGTGGACAGCGGTCATGTGGACAGTGGTCATGTGGACAGTGGTCATGTGGACAGTGGTCACTGGTCACGTGGACAGTGGTCATGTGGACAGCGGTCATGTGGACAGTGGTCACTGGTCACGTGGACAGCGGTCATGTGGATAGTGGTCATGTGGACAGTGGTCATGTGGACAGTGGTCACATGGACAGCGGTCATGTGGACAGGGTCATGTGGACAGCGGTCATGTGGACAGGGGTCATGTGGTCATGTGGACAGTGGTGGTCATGTGGACAGCGGTGGTCATGTGGACAGCGGACATGTGGACAGCGGTCATGTGGTGAGTGGTCATGTGGACAGTGGTCATGTGGTCAGCGATCATGTGGACAGTGGTCATGTGGACAGCGGTCATGTAGACAGTGGTCATGTGGACAGTTGTCATGTGGACAGTGGTCATGTGGACAGTGGTCATGTAATATTGTTTTAGATTGTTTATTGCCCCATATACACTTCATAAATTGCCAATAGTGAAATACTTTGAGTGCGGCGTGAAGTTGAGATTGATAATACGATGTGCTGTTGAGATTGACATCCAGTGATCAAGGAGAAAAAATGTCAGCACCTTGAGCATGTATTAGATAAATGGATATGTGCGCTATATAAACATCCTATATAATAATAATAATAATATTCTTCTCCATCCATGACACACAAAACTTATTCACACAAAATGTCAAGTGTAGAACTCATGAATTTGATTATCCCTATTATCCCAGATTATTGTCAGTCTGACATTTAGATCCCCTCTGGTAATAAGCCACTAGGTCTGTGTCTGGTTATGTACAAACAAGTGTGCGAAATAGCCACTGGCCCAAATTATAGCCTGTGGCTTGTAAAAATCCAGTCGGGCAATAAATCTCCACAGTCACTTGACAACTGGCTAGTGAATTTCATTGGGTCATTTTGTAAATATATCACTCTCTCCGACTTCTTAAGCTATAATACACTTTTAAATCATGCAAGATTATGGCCTGATAAAAATGTCCATCATATTAGCAGCTTAATGATGAAACCCATGTCATGCCAATAATATCTTATTCTCATCTATTTTTGTAATCTTTTACTTAGTTTCTACATTCAAATTTCGGGCTCGAAAATTATTTTGTGAGCTAGAAAAACATTCAGGCATTAAGCTAGCTCGACTGTCTAGCAAAATTTGGGAACTATTTTGCACACTGGTACATTTAACTACAATGATACCATGTGCAACAACAAGCGTGGGTTGCTGAAGACCAGTTGTAACTGGGATCTTCACAGGTGCAGCCACATGTACAGGGGTGGAAATAACTTTAAAATTGCTAGTGTACTCCGGAACAGTGGCACATGTAAAATCACTTGCCCTGATAATTTTTCCACTATACCGGCCGTTTTCTTGTTGATTTTTTAAAATAAACAACATAAATAAGATTGGAAAGTCAACTGGACACTGGTACAGTGTGATATACAAATCTGCTTGCCCGACAGAAAAAAACACTGGACTCGGACGTCGGGCAATGGGTTCCTGATGTACCCAAATTAATAGTCATTCAGAGTGAGTGAGTGAGTTTATTTTTACGCTGCACTCAGCAATATTCCAGCTATATGGTGGCTGTCTGTAAATAATCGAGTCTGGACCAGACAATCCAGTGATAAACAGCATGAGCAACGACCTACACAATTGGGATATGATGACATGTAGTCAGTGAGCCTGAGTTTCCGTTAGCCTCAGTTGCTGAGTTGCTAAGACCTATTCTAACCCGGATGAAGCCATCGATAAGCGTCGTACTATAAACATGATAAATAAATGAGACTATTTATGGCATAACAATTTCGTTTTGTTAGTCATGATGTGTCTTGCCCGACCATCCATGACTAAAGTATTCAACATTATGACCAGGCAAGTATTGGCCCTGAAACATTGTAACAAAGAATGAGTGAGTGAGTATAGTTTAACGCCGCTTTTAGCAATATTTCAGCAATATCACGGCGAGGGACACCAGAAATGGGCTTCACACATTGTGCCCACATGGGGCATCGAACCCGGGTCTTCGGCGTGACGAGACACCGCTTTAACCACTAGGTTACCCCACTGCCCCTCAACAAAGCATGAAAAGGTTGATATCTAGTAAAAATATTTACTTGAAGACAACCGTAACTTTGACGGATCAAAGTTTGACACAACGGTGTTTGACTGTATTGCCTAATGGGGACCATGATCAAAATTGGTTCTGAGAAATGAGTGAAGCTTTCGTCAAAACGAACTAGCTCAAATATTTTGCAATGAATTCATAGGGATGACTGATCACTTTTTTTCTTAATTCCTCTTGAATGCTCGATTCTGGCTGTAAGAATGTTCAGTTTCACGCTTATATAACCGGTGCAGATTCCGTGTCATAGGGGGTGATGGGGTGTTGTTAAAGGGGTCGCGTAAAACCATACTCCCTCACTCACTCACTTACTGTTTAAGTTTAACACATCAAAATTTGACATGACAGTGTTTGATTGTATTGCCAAATGAAACCATGATCATTCTGTTCCCGTAATCTCAGTTCAATCATGTTCAATGACTTATATCGGGGCGGTGGGGTAGCCTAATGGTTAAAGCGTTGGCTCGTCACGCCGAAGACCTGGGTTCGAATCCCCACATGGGTACAATGTGTGAAGCCCATTTCTGGTGTCCCCCGCCGTGATGTTGCTGGAATATTGCTAAAAGCGGCGTAAAACCATACTCAACTCACTTCAGTTTGACAGTGTTTGACTGTGTTTGAGTTTCAATGACTGCTTTGGAGACTAGACTGAAAGCATGAAAGAACACTAAAATCAAACCAACTATGTTCATGACTATAGCCCTGGAGTCAAACTGCAACAAATAATACTAAAATGAAATACAATATGATACATACTGTAGCCCTGAGTCAATGGACCTCAGTGCTTAACAAATAAAATAGTCCGCGACACCATGAAGCAGCCTCAAAACTGACGACTCTTAAAATCCATGAAACACCATTCCCTTCCATGTTGGAATATTGCTTAAAGCAGCCTAAAACTAAAACTGATGCACTCCTTAAAATCCATGAAACACCATTCCCTTCCATGTCTACATAGATAACATTGTATAAGATGTTTGTTCATTAAATGTTATAATATACAGCCTCTCCACTACATAGATAACATTGTATGTAAACCTCATACATGTTTGTTCACTTTAAATTGAGTTTTCACATAAATAATATACGATATAACTTATCTCTCTCCGTTACCATGAAAATATAAGTGTTACATTTGACAATTTTCTTAAAGGCATTGTGCATTCATATCTTTCAGCTAAGGGAACCGTGTCAATTTAATCCTGTCTGAGGGGTACACAAAGGGGTGTCACAGGGGTGTGATCTAGTTTACCTGTTGTCAAGCGTCCCTTTTGTGGAAGCAAAGAAGAAAAGTATACTCACCCCAACATAAGAAGATGTTTCCAGTTGAACTGAACTGAACTGATATAAACTGAACTGAACAGATCTAAACTCATCTGATATAAACTGAACTGATCTAAACTAAACTGAACAGATCTAAACTAAGATCAGATCTAAACTGAACTGAAAGAACTGAACTGATCTAAACTATAAACTGAACTGATCTAAACTAAACTGAACTGATCTAAACTGAACTGAACTGATCTAAACTAAACTGATCTAAACTGAACTGAACTGATCTAAACTGAACTGAACTGATCTAAACTGAACTGAACTGATCTAAACTGAACTGAACTGAACTGATCTAAACTGAACTGAACTGATCTAAACTAAACTGAACTGATCTAAACTAAACTGAACAGATCTGAACTGAACTGATCTAAACTGAACTGATCTAAACTGAACTGAACTGATCTAAACTGAACTGAACAGATCTAAACTAAACTGAACTGATCTAAACTGAACTGAACTGATCTAAACTGAACTGATCTAGAACTAAACTGATCTAAACTATACTGAACTGATCTAAACTGAACTGAACTGAACTGATCTAAACTGAACTGAACTGAACTAGAACTGAACTGATCTAAACTGAACAGAACTGAACTGATCTAAACTGAACAGAACTGAACTGAACTGATCTAAACTGAACTGATCTAAACTGAACAGAACTGAACTGATCTAAACTGAACAGAACTGAACTGATCTAAACTGAACAGAACTGAACTGAACTGATCTAAACTGAACTGAACTGATCTAAACTGAACAGAACTGAAACTGAACTAAATATAAACTGAACTGATCTAAACTGAACTGATAAACTGAACTGAACTGAACTGATCTAAACTCAACTGAACTGATAAACTGAACAGATCTAAACTGAACTGATCTAAACTAAACTGAACTGAACTGATCTAAACTGAACTGATAGAACTGAACAGATCTAAACTCAACTGATATAAACTGAACAGATCTAAACTCAACTGCATACTAAACAGATATAAACTGAACAGATCTAAACTAAACTGAACTGAACTGAACAGATCTAAACTGAACTGAACTGAACTGAACAGATCTAAACTCAACTGATATAAACTGAACTGATCTAAACTGAACTGAACAGATCTAAACTGAACTGATCTAAACTGAAATCTGAACCGAACACAAACTGAATTTTACTCTATTGATAAATACTGAATATATTAAACTCAACTGTAATAAACTAATTTAGAGATCTAAACTCAACTTTACTGTCATTTAATCCCCAAAACAATACATGTACACAGAAATTACAAACAAAGCAAAAACATTTATTGACTTTATCTGAACAGAAATCACTGGAATTATCATGGAACTGAACTGATGTAAGGAAATCTGGTTGTTTTTCCATTTTAGAGTGATATAAGTACTGATAGTTAGGTTATTAAAGGGAACTGTGTAAAGTTAGATATGCCGAACAAGTGAACCTGTCTAAATTCTTAGCTATATAAAGGTGCTGGGAAAGCAGAACAAATGAACTGATTAAGAAAACCATCTTAAACAGAAGACATATCAGTGATAACAGAAATCTAAGTTACATTTGTTGTTTACTAACAATAAATTTCAAACTGAACTCATCATAAATTACTACAGTCATTTATTCTAAGAACATGTAGTGCACTGATTTCTGAAACTGAACTAAAAACAGATCTGGTGCTCTAACTGAACAGAAAAAAATAGACATTTCTATAAACTGAACAGATCTAAACTGAACTGATATAAACTGAACTGATATAAACTGAACTGAACAGCCATCCCTGCAACACCAAATCCCAAAATGAAGCAAGTCTAGCTTTCCTCAGGTTGACTCTCCCATCTCACTTGGGCTCCTTTTCAATTTAAAAGGAATTTTTTTCTGTCATAATTATATATTCAGAGACGAAGCATTAGTCTACATTTACAATGTAAGGACACTGACCAACATCACAATGTCTTGGATATTCGTTTGAAATTTAAAAATGCAAGATAATGTTCTGATATGAAATCCACTTTTGTTATTCATACTGTTCTGAGTGTGGCTTTGTTGTTGATATATAACATATCAAGTTAACAGTCTCACCTGGTAAATAGTTAATTAGCTGTGTAAACATGAACGTTATGAACTTTGTAATGAGCACCTGTCAATCATTGTGATGGACCGTCAGCCCTGGTGATGACATCATTAATCATGACGGATATATTTCTGAAAAATGTTTATGCAAACATTCCTCTTTCAAGAAAATATTATGCATATTTTTGACATTAGACATCTTGTTATCTATGACCTAAACATGTACTGCTCAATCATTATAAAATCAAAATGTGTGATTTCTAGATACTGCTGGAATGTAGATTATATGTACATTGCATATATAACTTATCTAAAATGTATAAAACCTTTATGCTACTATCTAAAGTGAACAGCATGTTTCGCAATTGGAGACTATTTTGGATATTCTTGACATTAGAATTTAGACATCTTGATATTGATTACTTAAAATATTTGATGCTCAGTCAAGTCGTGAAATAAAAATGAGTGATTCCTAGACTCTGCTGAAATGTAGACTTAGTGTTAGTAAAATAACAACTTTAAATGATATTAAAGATGAAAATTACGTTTTTGTCTCACATCGACGAAAACCCCTCGAAAACATGTAGCATCCCAGCAACTGACTGAAGACAACCATTATCTGTAGGGGTGGGTATTGCAGAGAATTTTCATATTGCGATATATTGCGATGCGAAAGCATGTACTGCAATATGTATTACAATATATTGCATGAAGTATTTTTAAACAAAAAACTACTTATAATCGAGTCAGTGCTTGATTTATAGTGCCAAAACACAACAAAATCACTATGCTTGATTAAGCTTTAATAACAACTTTTAATCATGATAAAATAAAAATGTCAATAATATTTGGCACAAATGAAACAAGAAATTATCCGAAGATTTCCGAGTGTAACAAAGTTTTCCGAATGCAAATCAAACTACCAGTTTTTAAATAGCGTATCGCAATACGTATCATTTTTATGTCTGAAGCAGGAAAATACCGGTAAACCGGTTATATTGCGCAGCCCTCATTATCTGAATGAACACTTAATCCTGAAGATTAATCACTATGTCGCCATCATTTAACTGCCATTATTTATGACACTAATCTCCATTGGAAATCCTCTTCCCATAGCACTGTATACTGACTCCACTTTGTCTACAGCCAGCCTGTGTCACTATGTCACTTACATAGACTCCATCGAATATCCTCTAGGCTAACTGGCCTTCATTCAAGGTCGCATGTCATTCCATATAACCAAATAATGAGTGAGTTTTGTTTCACGCCGCACTCAGCAATATTCCAGGTGTATGGCAGTGGTCATTAAATAATCAACCAGACAATCCAGTGATCAACAATATGAGCATCGATCTGCACAGTAGGGAACCGATGACAAGTGTCAACCAAGTCAGCAAGCCTGACCAGCCGAACAAGCAAGGGTTACCATGGTTACTGAAGATCAATTCTAACCCGTATCTTCATGGGTTATAACCAACCAGTACCAACATGAAAACAAACCAAAAAACACTAACCACTGAACCTGAAAAAACAACAAACGAAAACAAAACATAAAAACAAACAAAACAAATACAGTCGAGCAGCGTTACGTTGAACTCTGATAACTCGACATCTCGATATAACATCTCGTTCCCGGCAAAATCCTTCATAATCTATCATTATTCAAGCTCTTTAAACTCGATACAGATGCAATCTTCAGCTCTGATATCGTTTCTAGGACATAATGTCAGTCCAGACATACATCACAATATGTTTTGAACGACAAAAACAATTGGGCTCAGATGACACATATGATACACAATACACTGGCACGTGAGACATGATGTTTTCATCAGTGCATATAGGAATTGTAATAACTTGGTTATTTCAAACCCTTAAAATATTTAAAGGTCACATGCAACGTAAAACACAACTTCGCAGATTCTGATACCTTTCGGTATGGACTTACCGAAACAAAACGTCAAAAATGCAAATTCAACTTATAAAGCTGAAAAATAACACGATGAAAAAACGTTTCACTAATTTCCCCCCCGACTTGTGAACTTGAAAATGCTATTACATATGTTGTGGGACATCCCCCGACTAATATTTATGGGGTTCATAACTTTATGTTTTAATTTTTCTCTTTGGTTACTTACCGTGAAGAATTTTTCTTTTGCTGTCCTTTATCATTGTTTATTGTTATCAAATACCATGGGGAAAAAAATACCGGAATTGTAACTGACCTGAACTGCACACGTGTGATACTGATGTATTGTATAGCTGTTACAAGGGGGGATAACTATTCGCTAGCCAGTACCGACATTTCGCATTATAATATGGTAAGAGTTCTGCTCGTAACCCCCGCTTGAAATGTACTCTGTATATTTGAGGGTTTAGGGTTAGGTTTAGGTTAAATACAGGGTTACGAGCGGACATCTTTCCCATAGTATAATAAGGAAGTTGACATCACTATAGTATCCTGCCTTTCTTATTACTCAACAAGTGTTGTCTCTCTAAGGATAGTTATGGGGTGTTTGTTAAAACAAAGGTGTGAGATGTGCATGGGTCGTAAAGGGAATTTGCTCGTAAAGACATGTCAGATCCCTAAGAGGGTGATGAAGCTCTGGGTTTGAGCAAGGCTAGCGATACACCGAGGAAGTGGGAGCGCAATAGCGCGGTAATTTTGCCGTTGAGAGCGGACTTCACCAGGAGCTGTGCCCGTTAAACTGCACTCTTACCCAAAATACTGTCGTGATATATTGTAAACTTGAGAACACCAGGAATGATAAACTTATTTTAAGACGCATTAATAATATGTCATAACAATTAACAACATGTTTGAATTCATTCGGTGAATCACATTTCATATCAGTTTTTGATACAAATTGATCATCCAGGTAAATGGCAAGTTAATTAACACAATGTACCTATAACTAAACAAGACCGAGAAGTATACATCACAGACACAACACTCATTCAAATGAATCGTAAAACTGTTCGTCATGCGATACATTGTTTACGGAAATGTGACAAAATGGCTGCCGTTTCCACATTTTGTATCTCCCCATTTAAGGGACGCCTTACCTGTCCGCAGTTCAAAGTGGACGACAGGGCGTCGAAAATGTTCAAGGCGGTGATGTCGACATCTTGAGTATTTCCGTGAACTATAGATACAAGTATCACAAATGATACCAACAGATTCGCCATCATTCGAAATTAGCCAACGCTCTTCGCGTGACTGTCGCTACGATCTCCCCGATCGACTAAATATAGTCAGGTGTCATTACCTGAGGGGTCGTCTCAAAAACTCGTCTGCTAATATAATCACAGGTGTTCGGAATTCTAAAAATGAGTACCAGTTTTTTAAAGTGATCATTAAATTTGGGATAGTTGACCTCAATTAATGCCTACATTAAAAAAAATCTTTATTGACGTAGAAGTATTTTTCAGGTAAATTGTATAAATTTACCTGTATTAAGTAACTTTGATACATGAACGAGATTTTACTTTCAAGAATTACATACAAAGGTTTTGTTAAAAATAATATTTTATGAATATTTAAAGAGACAATCATTCGAGGAAAAGTTGTAAACAATTCTCTCAAAACATACAACATAAAAATTATATCGCGTTAATGTCGGGTATCGATTTTCCATTGTCGTATCCTCATAAATTATCGATCTCAAGACCCGTTTACAAGCTATTGTTTACTGAATAGGTATAGTGTATATGGTTCTTGACATGTATAGAAACACGCACTGTAGGGTTGGATCATGCAAAACAGTACCCCACCAAACACTGAATTATGCTTCCATGTAATAGTCAGTAAGTAAGTGAGTGAGTTTTACGCAGCTTTAAGCAATATTCCAGCTACATCACTATGAGGGACAAAATACATACTTTAATGAGGCTCACGGGGGAACACTTGAACCATGAGGCTACCCCACCGCCCCATACAGTGTAATGAACATGGTCAAATGCTACATGAGTGAGTGAGTGAGTTTAGTTTTACGCCGCACTCTGTAATATTCCAGCTATATGGCGGCGGTCTGTAAATAATCGAGTCTGGACCAGACATTCCAGTGATCAACATCATGAGCATCTATCTGCACAATTGGGAATCGATGACATGTGTCAACTAAGTCAGCGAGCCTGACCACCCGATCCCGTTAGTCGCCTCTTACGACAAGCATGGGTTACTGAAGATCAATATTCCAACTCGGATCTCCACGGGTGAAATACTACATGAAAATTAACGCAGATTGTTCAATAAATCGAATCACTGTGTATATTAATTGTATGTGTCAAGGACGTTTGCAGGTTGTCGTTGTGTAAATTGTGTATAGGTGTGAGTAAAACCATCCGAACGTTATCTTTAAAGTCTTTTCACTGTGATGGATGGATAAATGGATGGATGGATGGATGGATGGATGGATGGATGGATGGATGGATGATGGATGGATGGATGGATGGAGGATGGATGGATGGATGAAAACTCCCCAGTTTATTATCTAACACAAGCGCAGAAAATAATGCTCTTTTTAAAGATAACAAGCAGTGGCAGTCTTGGATTCGAACTCACAATCAACGGATCCTGAATGAAAGTTATGAAACAGCGTTTTGTGGCACTATATCCCTCTTGGCCACTCGAACATAGGGGGAGTTTAAGTTTCAGAGTTTTAAAGTCACATTTGCAGTAGGCTATTAAGACACTCCATGACCATACAGAAACGGACACGATACTTGCCACATACAAGACAAGCTGTTTGATTTATCTTGACATCCCATCATAGTGAGTGAGTGAGTATGGTTTTAAACCGCTTTTAGTAATATTCTAGCAACATCACAGCGGGGGCCACCAGAAACGAGCTTCACCCATTGTACCCATGTGAAGAATCGAACCGGGGTCTTCGGCGTGACGAGCCAACGCTTTAACCACTAGGCTACCCCCCATTTCAGAATTCCTTTCTGATATCAGATTACACAGCCAGTACAGGTTGATTTGTCTGGGAATGAAAAATGACCATGTCTCATAAATTAGATATCTTAGATACTTAATGATTTATCCAACTCTGCAGCATAACATACGAAATACTGATTCAAACACTTAAATATTGGCATGCACTGAGCAGATGAATATGGCAAGCAGGGAACTGCACTGCGGTATCTGGCATACCGTCTGGAATACCGTACCGGAATGGGCGTGGCAGCCGCACTTCACTGGTATCTGTACGACAGCTACAGACACTAAGATATCTGGTAGGTACAACGACGTCGTAATAAATGACAACATCACATGTATTGAGAACCCGTGAAGACCCAGGTTAGAGTGAGTGAGTGAGTTAATATTTAACGTCACATCGGCAATATTTCAGTCATATCGTGACGAGAACAAGTTAATTTATATCAATATTAAAATCATTAAATTAAGAACATAAAAAACTGACATCGAAGGACAGTAAAAATACTAGAGCATCGCATATATAAATTTAGTTCGCTATCACAAAATTAAATCAGTATAGACAGTTCAAAATAAAAACAGGCCATAGATCACCAACAACTGACAGTAGATCACCATACTAGGGTCCATGATCCGGGTTAGAATGTGTCTTCAGTAACCCATGCTTGTCGTAAGAGGCGACTAACGGGATCGGGTGGTCAGGCTCGCTGACTTGGCTGACACATGTCATCGGTTCCCAATTGTCTTGGTCCAGGCTCGATTATTTACAGACCGCCACCATATAGCTGGAATAAGCGAGTGAGTGAGTGAGTGAGTGAGTTGGTTTTACGCCGCTTTTAGCAATATTTCAGCAATATCACGGCGGGGGACACCAGAAATGAGCTTCACACATTGTACCCATGTGGGGAATCGAACCCGGGTCTTCGGCGTGACGAGCGAACGCTTTAACCATCAGACTACCCCTCCGCCCAAGCTGGAATAAGAATGACTGCGGCGGTAAACAAGGAACAAACAAACTTGTATTTCGCAATAGGCACTCGATATCCAGAGCACCGAAAGGGGCGTGGAAGCCTCATTTCACTGATATCATTTTGACGGCAACTGAGATATCTTGAAGATACGACCACGTATAATAGATTAATATGACTTGTATTTCGCAATTAGCATGGCCGGCTTCAGCAGAACACGAGTACAGAACATTTCAACGGGCATTTGTTTAATGTATTCAAAATAGCCGCTTGTTTCTTTACCTTGGCTCTCAGGTAAATACACCTTGTATAAGAACATGTCATACTTGAGCTTTGTAGAAGAACGTGTTTACTATCGTGAGCCAGTTATGTTTATAAGGCCTGTTTTCCACGACGTCCGACCTTTTATTTTTGCGTTACGTCATACGTTGCTTCAGAAATAGCGCGTCCAGTATTTTATTTTTCATTTGTTCATTACAGTACGTGCGAAAAGTGGACGCGCTGCGGTCTGATGCGAATAACGCGCTTATGTTTCACGCATCGCGTTGAGGAACGAAGGGGAATTCCCTTGATGGCGTCATAATTCAGGACGTGTTGAAAGCTCTGACATTCTAATTGCTGATTCATGAGAAAGGAAGGTTTATCAGGATTTGAACTGAATTGACAATATTTCGTTTATTTTCCAAAGATGCTGATGGTTCATACTTTAGGGTTTATGTTTTTTGTAAAAAAGTCAACAAATTAAACCTGCATTTTGTAACTTATGTCTTTTGTTTTCAATAAATGCCAGTTAGAATCATATGCCCGTTAGATAGTGTTGTCCCAAATGTAGCCTTTGTATTTGAGTACCATAAAAGACCCGTGAAGATCCGGGTTAAAATTGATTTTCAGTAACCCATGCTTGTCGTAAGAGGCGACTAACGGGATCGGGTGGTCAGGCTCGCTGACTTGGCTGACACATGTCATCGTATCCCAATTGCGTAGATCGATTCTCATTATGTTGATCACTGGAATGTCTGGTCCAGACTCGATTATTTACAGACCGTCGCCATATAGCTTGAATATTGCAGAGTGTGGCGTAGAACTAAACTTACTCACTCACTCACTGATTACTAAACAAAGAACTAGAGTCGGTACTCTAACAGTCAGTGTTATGGAGCCATACTAAAAGAAGACATGGTTCTCGTCCTCCTGCAGTAATGGCCTTTCTGAGCCTTGTAGGGGAGACCGAGGTCATGTAACACGGGGCAATTGTAACAAGGCCGATTACTCTAAACGTTTTCGCTCTAGCATAGTGTAGGTGAGTAGAGTTATTTCCCCTTGCTTTCCCGCGGTACACATCCAGGCGTTTTTCACCTGCTTATTCACGTCGAGATACAGTTGACGAAAATTGATAAGTAAATTTTTCACAAAACGTAATGAAACGTTCTTTTTGCAGTAAATGTTGCTTGGTATGAAATTAACTTTTCAAGTGTTAAAATTGAGGTATTACGACATATTGTGAAGTAGAAATATTTGAGAAGCCCAAACTGGTAAACATATGACGTGGCATGAAGCATGGCTACTACCATCGGGGGCAATTGTAACACTTGCAGTCATTGCATTTGATACGTAATAAGTTCTAATAACTTTGTAACAACATGATAGTGAACTTTAAATGACACTGAGGTTTAAAGCCAAGATGCCAATGTACTAGTTAGTACCGATTAACTTTGCGAGCGGTCGACTAGTATCGAACTACAAGAAGTTATGTAAAAAGTGTTACAATGGACCCCTTTCTCCCCTACCTTGTGAGATGATGGTTTCAAATTTAGATAGAGCATGGTGCAACCATTCCCATGAAAGCCGGGCGGTTACCCTTGAAACATGTCATCATCAACTTGTAGGTCTATCATCAAATGAGGGTTCGATTTCCCACACAATGTATGAAGCCCATTTCTGGTGTCCCCGCGGTGATATTGCTGGAATATTGCTAAAAGCGGTGTAAAACCCGCCCCCTCACTCAGTTTAAAATTGAACAGATCCCAGCGTAAACATCACCGCCATTGATTCTGTAACGCTTCATGCTGCACGGACTTGTACATTCCACAACTCTGGGGCGGAGGTGTAGCCTACTGGTTAAAGCGTCCGCTCGTCACACTGAAGACCCGGGTTCGATTTCCAACATTTGTACAATGTGTGAAGCCCATTTCTAGCGTCCCCCGCCGTGATATTGCTGCGATATTGCTCACCCACGTCATCTTTTATCAAACGTCATTCCCTATATCATCTAGTTAATCTAACGGTGAACCTGCGTTACTTGATACTCTGGTCGACATTGAGACCAAGTTAAACAGTGTCATGGTGTCACAGGGAGCTGGCTGTTAGTAGTCATTAGGACTACTACATGCGCACACACGCACGCATGCTCCGACGCACACACACGCACACATGCACGTTTGTAGTTATATTAGTACAATAATCCGGAACGGGAAGATTATTCCCATATCACCTCCCATGTTTGTAAAACTAAATCCCCCCCTACGAATAATTAAACCCGTGGAGATCTGGGAAATCTCATTATGATATCTCTTTACTGGAACGTAAATTAGGAACAAAGCACTGTAATATTTGAATCAAATTTAAAACCGCCAACCATAAATTACCTATTGAAACAGGTCGCTGGGAAAATATTCCCTCAAATAAACGATTCTCTCCGTCATGTCCCTCCCAACTCGGAGATGCGTTTCATTATTTATTTCAATGTAATAAATTTACTGCTTCAGAAATATGTATTTGAATTATTATGACTATTATAAAATGTCAGCCCTATTTGAAACTCATAATATGAATCAATTAAGAAATCTATGTAAATTTATTTCCATTATAATGTCTGTCAACATGACATGATTAGTTTACCTGTACATAATTGCTGGATCTGTTTCAAGCCATAGCCTAAAAGTGATATATTTTTGAAAAATACCCCCCATGATGCTTTGCATGTATTTGTTAACTTATGGTAATAAAAAGGATGATTGATTGATTGGGTTAATTGCCTTTTGGGGTTTGACGCAACCAACATGCTCGTGGATGTCACATGTAATCATATAAGGGTGGGTGTGTGGGCGAGTTTGAGATGCATGAATGTGATGTATGTGCAATATACATTTTTATTTATCTTAAATGTTTTACTGTGATATATACATGTATCTCATAGGCCGAATGGCCGGATGCTATGTAAACGTTTTAATCGTGGCATTATGTACCGCATATTAGCATGTGACACAATAATAAAATATTTTTCTTCTTCCTCTTCTTCTCCTTCTTCTTCATATCCCAACTGCTCGATACTCGTGATATTGGTCACTGGATTGTCTGATCCACACTCGATCATTTATAGACGGCAGCCTAGACTAACGCTTAGTCTCTGAATATATTTATTACCTACGAGGGTTCATATTTTTCATAATGCCCTACTAGGGCAAAATATCACTTTGTCATGGTGACGTGACGTCACGAATAATGGTATGACGTCACGTTTCTTCAATGACGTTGCGTTCTACATGCGGCGACGGCGGGTAGCCAGCCTGTGTTTGAAAGTAGATTTGCCCATATCATACTATGTTTACGACACTCGTGCCTAAATATCTATATAATTTTGATTGTACCAAATAAACCCGATTAAATGGAAAAGGGGCCCCAGGGACTGGGAAAATATTGCTTCATTTGGGGCATCAGCAGCAGGGAGGGCTAGGCTGTAGGGAAAGTAATATTATTATTATTATTATTATAGGATATTTATATAGCGCACATATCCACGCACTAGTGCATGCTCAAGGCGCTGGTATTTTTTCC